GAGCTAAACTCCATCTCTAAATAAATAAATAATAAATAAAATAATTTTCAGTTAAATAGTGAGATGATGATCAAATTGCCAGAGCAAAATAATCAAAGAAAGAGGAAACCTTTGAGAAGTTAGGCAATGAGGGGAAGACAAGAGTGGAAATTTATTTTCAGGCTGAGGATAAAAGTCAGCAAGGAAATAAAAACAGAAGAAAGGGTGTGAGAGGTGGGATGGGGAGGATGAAACAGATGATCATGAAAAGAGCTCAAAGAAAAGGGAATTAAGTAACATCAACATGTAGAAGGGTTTCATGTAATGGGCTGAACTGTGTCCCTCCCAAAAAAGGTATGTTGAAGTCCTAACCCCCAGTACCTAAGAATGACCTTATTTGGAAATGGGTTTTTGCAAATATGATTAACTAGGTTAAGACGAGGTCATACTGGAGTAAGATGGGCTCCTAATGACTGGCGTCCTTCTAAGAAGCCAGCCCTGTGATGATAGAGACACAGGGAGAACACCATCACAGAAAGAGGGAGAACTGCAATGAGGCATCTTCAAGTCAAGGAACACCAGTGAGGATTGCCAGTGAACCACCAGAAGCCAGGAAGAGGCAAAGAAGGATTTCCCTACAGGTTTCAGGGGGAGAATAGCCCTGTGGACACCTGATTTTGGACCTCTAGCTTCTAGAACTGTGAAACAGTGAAGTTTTATTGGTTTGAGACACCCAGTTTGTGCTACAGCGTCCCTAGGAAAATGAATACAGTTCATTTCAGAATGTAAGAAGGGAACCATTTTCAAAGAGAGAAACGGAAGAAAAGAATATAAGTGAAAATGTCATCTTTTTATTCTTTTTTTTTTTTATTTGAGACAGAGTCTTGCTTTGTCGCCCAGGCTGGAGTGTAGTGGTGCGATCTTGGCTCACTGCAACGTTGGCCTCCCAGGTTCAAGCAATTCTTATGCCTCAGCCTCCCAAATAGCTGGGATTACAGGCATGCACCACCATGCCCAGCTAGTTGTTGTGTTTTTAGTAGAGATGAGGTTTCACCATGTTGGCCAGCTTGGTCTTGAACTCCTGGCCTCAAGGGATCCACCCGCCTCAGACTCCCAATGTGCTAGGATTACAGGTGTGAGCCACCATGCCCGGCCCTATCTTTTTATTCTTATGTTCTGTTTTGAAGGATGATGGTTCATTTCTGGTTTGACTCTTCTGGTAAGGATATAAGTGAGAATAAGTTCTAAACAGGAATAGGCTTCTGCAGAAGCCTATTTAGAACAGAAATTTAGACCCAACATTGTAGTACCGAGCCC